GCTGAACAGAGGGGAAGAATCACTTCCCTCAATCTGCTGACAATGCTTCTAATAATGCAGCCCAGTATGCCGTTAGCCTTGTTGGCAACAAGGGCACACTATTGGCTCATATTCAGCTTCTTGTTCACTGTGATCCCCAGGTCCTTTTCTGCAGAGGTGCTGCCTAGCCAGTTGATTCCAAGCCTGTAGCAGTGCATGAAGACTTAGTTTCATCCTAAGCGCAAGACTTTGCATTTGTCCTTTTTCAACCTCATGAGATATCTTGCTTGACATTTTTGAAATTTCAAACAATTTCAATGCCAGTCAATTCATAAAAGGTATGAAAGGGTGCCACAAGTCCAGAAAGATGAGAACCACTGCTACAGACTCTCTTCATAATCCACTACAACTATCTGCAGCTCCTTTGGGACTTTGGGCCCCTCCAGACTTGCAGGTAAAGACACGATGGGATCTGATGCATGATCCAAAGAATCGTGCTTCCTACTATACCACATGTTCACAGCAGGAGGCGTGACTGTGGGTTCATGCATCAGAAACCATCATGCCTTACTGCTAGTCCAGGGGGAACCCGGGATCACAATCCTGGGCTTGCCCTGGACTGGTAAGTAGCAAGGTCTTGCAGCTGGGAGCCCCCTCAGCTGACCCCATGCACCCCCACAACTGGGAGTCCCTTGAGCGGATGAGTCTTCAGCCCTACAGGCTCACTTGGCCACACATTCAGTTAGGAACCAGCCACAAAGTTATTACACATTTTTGTGGAATAAATTTTGGCTTATTCCTTATTTTATCATGCCATTAACTAATTGAACATGTGGCTAGGCTACAACTTAAGATGTGATTAACTGGTCAATCAAGTCTTAAGCATAATGTGGAAGGGGCCTTAGTCTAAGATTCCAGCTCACTGAGAAACTTCAATCTTGCAATGAACTCTTTAAGGTGCAGGAATGTGTATGGAACAACTTGCAGGATAGGATCTTACTGGCTATTGGGAGAATACTGCAAAGGTGATACCCACAAAACATTATCTAACGGATGAAATAAATGACAAAAAAATAAAATAAACATTTCTTCAGAGTAGATTAAATTGTTATTTGTAACTATAATAGTCAAAAGCAATTTAGATAGATGTGATTTTTAAATAGACTGCATCTCTTCACACAAGCGGCCTAACTGTACTTTACAGATTGGTAAATGAAATAAATCCAGTGTTAGGGTGGACATTCTTTAATGAAAACCATGCGTACTTGGTCCGTGAAGCACATGCTTATATTTAGTCATGAAATGCACATACGGGAGAGAGAAGAGAGTTCCATGACCCTCCTTTAAAAGGGAAAAGGTACTTACGGGCTGCTTTGATTTGTTTCTGAGTGGCCCTGTATCTTATGTGTCCCAGTCCAAGTACTGCATAATGATCTTGATTCTGATAAGGAATTACAAACATTAATAGATTATAGATGACTGCACCTAAAAAACCCACAAAACAAAATATTCAGACAAATATGACTTGAAAGCTTTTCATGTTTTCTTCTAGCAGGGCTGAATTCTCCTCTGTATGTATAAAGATTAGCATCGGGCAACTCGGACTTTTTATCCACAGGCTCTCAATATCTAATTATATACAAAATCATTTCAAAATAAGCCCTTGTTACAAAATGTAACCAGCTCCACAGGAATTCACTTAAGTGAAGGTTCTCATGACATGAACCTTGCCTGTTGTATTCTCAGTGATGCACTGAAAATGTTGTTGAAAAGGTGTCCAGATTTCCTCAGAACAAAAGGAAAAAGGCTATTTTCTTAGAGAGGTATATTTGATTTCAGAGAGACAGACTGAATCTCAAGCTGATTTCACTCCAGTAAAATGAGAATAGGCCGACGATCACTTTCTGATGCATATTTATTAGTCTGATTAATAGAAGGGAAGTCACTGACACTCAGATAGGAGAATGTAAAAGTATCCTCACTTAGTCACCTAATTACCTATGGAAAACACAAAGGAAGCTATTTGCTAAAGTACATGGAACAATCCAGATGAGGGAAAAATACCCAGAGAGTGGAGCCTTTAGATAACTATGGACCACAAGTAACTTTCCCATAATATGCTTAATGAAAGAGTTAACACCATTTGCATTCGTTGTATACCTTCCAGTCCTTTGGATCGAGTGTTTTAAGCATAGGAAATTCTTCAAGCTGTAGTTCTTCATCCCCGGACTCTTCAGACAGCTCTTTCTCATCCTCCAACTCCTGGAAAGAGGCAGAAACATTTACGTTTCTCCTCTTAATAAACGCTTCAAACCATCTTCCCACAGGTTCAACTTGACAGTGGACAGAAGCTGCAAATAAAGCATAAGAGGAGCTTAGCTTCACATTGCAATTTATATATTTTCCATTCAGGCTGAGAAGTATTTCACCAAATAATCACTTCACCAATAAGGACTTCTTAATGCACATTTAACAGCCTTGTTACCATTTGAAAGACTGTGAAAATATGCAAAATTGCCCATTACATTGTTTATTCCATGTTCATTATTGCAAAATCCCTTCTGTGAACTCAAACTCACTAATTTTGCTCCTTGGCTTCCCTTTGCAACAACGCAAAGTGCTAGCTCAAAATGAACTACAGATGTTCAGCTACAACTGGCAAAAAATCAAACTATCATGAATGAAAGACGCAACAGGACAAAACCCAGATTCTAGGCTCAAATGATAGTCACTTAAACTTACAGACTTCTAGACAACTTGCAGAATCACACTAACCTCCCCAAGTTGCTTCCAGCTCAGGGGCTTGTTTGCACTATGTCTGCCTGGTGCTGCCCTGCGCATGACAGACGTGCCCACGTCACCAAATACAACAGGCAGGGCCCTGACCCTGGCACTACTTATGCATGTCCTTCGCTATGGGCTTCCCCAGGATAATTTGCAGGCTCTCAGACACGAGTTAAGCCTCCCTGTATCTGCCGGGTGGATTCTGGGCTAAAGCCCCGAACCAGGCTCTTGCTCACCCTACAGGAGCGCTCTCAGGGTTGGCGCTGCACAGTCAGGCGACGAGACATGAGCCTGGTTACTGCAACGCGCTCAGATTAAATAAGTGCCTGGAGGTGCTGCTTCAACTGTCCTTACAATGCCACCTTCAGTTTTCCTCACAGAGGACTTGCGATGTTGTCTTTGCGCCCACGAGCATGGCCTGGGGTGTAGCGCAGCCCCCACTGGCTCAGTGCCTGGCTTCTCGCACAGTACCGGCCTGGCAGGCTCGCAGGCTGGACCCAGCCAAGCGGGGCTCCGCGCCAATGTCACCCCACTCCCCCCTACGCGCCCGGCTCCACTTCCTGCTCCCCCCTGATCTACGGCTCTGCTTGCTGCTCCCCGCCCGGGCCGCGGCACCTACCCGCACACAGGGCGCTGGTGACGGCGGTGACCTGCCCCTCGCGCGTCTCCCGCAGCAT